CAAAAATAAGTGAATTTTAATAAAATCACCAGAATCAAGTCAATAAGTAAAAATACAAAAAATTTCATACATACAGTGTACAAAATCACACAATGGATTTATCCATACAATGAAATATCACTCTGCATTAAAAAGAAAAACTACTAAACCAACATGGCTGAATCTCAAAAACGATATATTTACTGAAAGAAGGCAGACTGGAACAATTACATATTGCATAATTTCATTTCTATGACATTGTAGAATAGGAAGAACTAACCTTCAGGGACAATAAGCAGATTGGTTGTTTCTTGGGCTGCAGGTTTGGGGATTGATTGCAAAGTCATAAAGGAATTTTTTAGGGTAATAAAAATAATTATCTTTCTTTTTAATGGTGGTTACTTTGGTATATGCATTTGTCAAAAATCATCGTGCACTTTAAATGGCTATACAGAGTGTCCGCCACTTGGAATGGTTCGATTTAGAATGGTATGCAAGCAATACAAACTCAGTAGACACTGTACTTCAGATTTTGAATTTTGATCTTTTTTGGGCTAGCAATATGCAGTCTGATCCTCTCTCATGATTGCCAGGCAGCTTCTAGTCATCCACGTAATCATGAGGGTAAGTGATTCTCTGCAACAAAATCACTGTGTGACATGATCTTGCCCCACCGAGGGCTAGTGTAAGCGTTCTAAGCACCTTTAAGGTAGGCTAGGCTATGATAATAATCATATCATAATTCCAATTTATGATGGGTTTATGGGGGCCTAATCCTGTTGGTAAATTGGGAGCATTTGTGTTTTTAATTAAATATTTTATTTTTATTCTGTTACAGATGTCCTAATTTTAACCCCTTTTAACCCTCCTGCGCCCAGCCCCTGCCTCCACCAGTCATTCTCCACCCTTTTGTCCTTATGAGCATCTGTATTTTACTGTTTGCAAACATCTCTGCCAAGCCAAAATAAACATAATGACTGGAAGTGCTGATGACTAATTTGTGTGAAGCATTTAGAGAGGGTCACTGATCCACAAGCAGTCTTCAGCACCTTGTCACACAGGGCTGGGATGAAGTCCTGGAGACAGTGGCGAGAACAAAAGGCGGGTGGGACAGGACTAGAGGAGAGGGGAAAGGCCACCTGAGCACATTTGTTCCTTCATGATTAACTCAGTGTTGCCCTTGTGCCAGCCTGCATGTAGAGAAAATTTCATAAGCCCCTCTCTCTGGGAAGGATGGTTATGCAGCCTGAAACTCCAGTGGGGTCTCTCCCTCCCCTCCTTTTTGAGTGGAATAATCTGAATATGATCTGACCATGTTACTGATACCAGACAGGGGCCTGGCCCTGACGGGGTCTGTCTGAGGTCAATCTGTAGTGTGTGGGGGGATTCTTGACTTGGTGCAAGAAAGATTTCACATGAGTCCAGGTGACTATGAGGATCCATTTAGTAAAGCTGGGGCAGTAAAACAAGGAAGGGCTTAGTGCAGAGCATAGGCTGGGATACCTTAGCTCACTGGGCAGTCAAGGAAAGGGGGCCTTGGGGACAGGTTCAGGGGATTAGCCTGGGATGAGCTGGCAGCTGCCCATTTCCTTAGAGTTCAGGAGACTCATGCCCGTGAAGAAAGGAGTTGGGGAGGAAGGAAAGGGAGGGGCACAGGCTGCTCTCCAGAGGGACAGTGCACACTCAGTCCTTTGTCTGGAGGCTTGTGTCTCTTTCTTGCAGGCGGGGATGTTAGGAGAGGTCTCCAGGGAGGATGTCAGTAGAATATGCATTGTTTCTCCAGGTGTGCCCTTTCAGGGTGGTGGTCTCCCCTGACTGGTCGGTGTCAGGGCAGGGGTCGTTTAGTCTTTCTAGTTCATGCAGGCATCGCCCACCTGGTTTTGCTGCTTTTCTGGGCCTGTAGCTGAAATACAACTGCAGCCTAGATGTTATCTCCAGGGAGGAAAGGCCAGGGGTGGAAAGGTTACCCTGGGGATGAGGTCTTTGTTTTCCCAGTCTTGCCCCCTGCCGGGCACTAGGGGCCTTCCGTCCTGGTGAGCACCTGCACCTGGCTGCAAGTTACCCAGCTGACTGTGTTCAGCTGTCTGACTCAGCTTCCCTATTCCCCTTGCCAGGCAACAGTTTCTCGCTGTCCTGTCTCATTATCAGTTGAATAATTTAAATATTATATGTATTTGTGTTCTGATATGTCTGCAGGCTTCTCAGAAACATCATTGTGAGAGTCATTCATAGAGCAAATAAGTGCTGCATACCTACTAAGTGCTAGAAACGATGCTTGTGCCTTGGAATACAGCAGACATGCCCCCTGCTGTGCTACCAGTGCTCTCTACCTAGCAGATGGTGGTTGAGAGGTTACTGGGGTGAATTCAAAAGACCCGGTTCCCATCCTGATTCTGCCCTGCAGTTGCCCAAGTGACTCTGAATAAGTCATTTCACCTCTCCAGGCTTCACTCTTTCCATCTTGCAAATTTTAGCTTTAAGAATTTTAAATATCTTTCAGTAACTTCCAGCTTGACAGCCACCGTTACTATCTACCCATTGCTAACTGGCCCATAACTTTTTTGGAGCTCGTCTGTGAGATTTAGGCAAGAGGTGTAGAGGACTGAGCCACATAGCCCACGGCACAGTGACGTCAACTGCCTATTCAAGGGTCCTTTGCTTAGACCACGTTGCTCAGCCCTGGTGGCACATCAAGAATCATCTGAGGAGTTTGAAAAATTCTCATTGCTTAGGCTGCACCTCAGACCAAATAAGTCAGAATTTCTTGGGGGTAGACCTAGGCATCAGCCACTTTTAGACGCAATGAATCATCTACTTATATGCCCCTTACATACTCATTACCATTTATTCCCCAGACCCAAAGGACATAGGTCTGTGGGAGTTGACACTGAATTTGAGCATACCATTGGATAGTAGGTACTGTTGCTGTGAATTAATGACCACTGCAGTCAGAGCGAGGCAGGCAGGGCATTAGAGCTGAGCCCAGGGGTCACCCTCTACTTCTGCCACCTAGGAAAGAGTTTTTATCTTTATTGCCTGTTGTTACTTACATTGCTGCTTACCTCAGTCCATGCACTCACTTAGTATTCACTGAATGCCTGATCTGTGCCAGGCATTGTGTCCTGGAGACGCGGTGGAGAACAGAAGTTATCCAGGTGGAGGGAGTAGCATGTGCAAAGTCCCTGTAGCAGAAAGGAGCTTGGCCAGTCAGAACTGAAATGACACTCATGTGGCTAGAGCAGAGAGCTTGCCCCACGTGCAGTGTGAGGAGGCTGGCATGTTGGAAACGGCCTTCGTGCCCTGGGCCTTGTGGGCAGGGCTGCAGGGAGCACAGGAGGAAGTTGACCTCCGTGCCTTGTCTCCAAATGTGGTAACTTTCGGCAATATACTGACTGTTTTTAAGACCACAGTAAAAAGCAGTATGAGAGCATGACCATGAGTCACATGGAGGAGGTAGCCCAAGAGTAGCACATTGTTATCTGGTTCCCTCCCAGACAAAACCACCAGCCCTGGCCCAGAGTTATGCTCCCTGATAACAATAGCTGCTGCATACCGGGAGCTAGGGTTGTGCCAGCCACTACTGTAAGCACCGTATTGCCTCACTGACTCTACATTACTGCCTATGAAATATGAACTATTGCTACTTTTTAAAATAAATAGATTGATAACTTGGCCACGGTCACACTGCCACTCGGTGGTAAAACTAGAAGTTGAACCCAAGCAGCCTCTCTCTGGGTGGCCACTTGGTCAGGGTGCTGTGCCTGTGGCTCAGCAGGATGGGGGCTCTGCCTATGGCTCACGTTGAAATGCTTCCTCTTGATTCAGAGGCAGTCAAAGCCAGGAGGTTTCAAGCAGGTGGTGACGTGGTCAGATGGTATTTCCCTCAATTTGCAGATAATGGACAGTTGACAAAGACACCATCACTCTGATGAGGTGATATACAGGGGTCATAGAACAGTCCACAGGACCAGAAAACAGGGGCAACAATAACAGCTAATTGAAATTTCAGGGGAATTTGAGGTATAAGATAATTACTATTTTTGAGGCTGATTAAATGAATTCACTTGACATATATGCATGTCCTGCCCCAGGGAAACACTTAACAACTTCTTGGAAATGGAACTCAAGTGTTTAACTAGATTTTTGTGAATCTGGATGCGAACTTGGACATTCTATACTCTCTGGGTTGAGAAACAAGAGTGCTCTAGAAAACATGGAAAATTGTGTGGGAATTGTGGCCTTGTGCATGCAAGCAGCCTACTTATAATTGAGGGAAAGAAGTAAATTGCCAAGAGCCTTGGGTTCATCCGGAATCATTATCATTGCCACCATCAACATCAGCACTGCTCTAATGGTCTATGATTACTGAGTATTTGGTACATGGACCCATATAAACAAGAGGCACACAATTCCCTTTCAACAGATATCCTGAAATAGTCCATAGTCAAATCAACATTTGTTGACTACTTATTCTGTACTAAGCAGTATCTCCTTTATCCTCCAGAATAGTCCTGCCAAGTATCTCCAGAATAGTCCCTGCCAAGTATCTCCAGAATAGTCCTGCCAAGGGAAGTGAATCTTAATCCTTGGAGATAAAGAAACACAGACCAAGATCATCCTAGTAACAGGCCCAGAATCTCAGGTAGTGAGGGAGAGGGTTTAGGGTTTGACTCAAAATCTGCTTGGATCCAAACCTGGTGCTCTTGGCTGGTCCCTATAAAAACCATGTCAATGAGAGTTTATGCCCATTGTCCATGATGCGTTGCTCAGGGTAAAGAAAGGATCCTATTTTTTGCAGGCTCAGACATGAAAGTCAAGTTGTCAGTTGGCTGCTAAAATTCAGATGTTGGCTGAAGAAGTAATATTATATACAGCCTTTGGTCCTTCCTTTTTTCATTGAAATAAAGAAAGAAAGAATCAGCTGTGGGCTGATTATTTTAACCTGATCTGAAGACTGCCAGGCACTCACCACAGTGTCAGTAAGGCAGAACCAATTGAGCTTGATTTCCTTTGTTCGACAGCTGCAGAACCAGGAGCTGCTGAGGGCAATGATGAAGAAGGCTGAGCTGGAAATCAGTGGCAAAGTGATTGAAACAATGAAGAGACTGGAGGATCCTGTGCAACGTCAGCGTGTCCTGGTGGAGCAAGAGAGACAGAAATACCTGCGCGAAGAGGAGAAGATCGTCAAGAAGTTGTGGTGAGTGCCAGTCACTTGTGTGTAGAGCTGTTTTACCAGAAAAGAAAACTTATCTTTGCCAAGGAAGATGTCCTTCCTGGATGGTGTTCTCTCCCTCTCCCTTCACGGAGCACCTACTATATGCAAGTTAGAGTTCTGCTGAGTCTGAGTGTCCCTGGACACTTAGTGTCCCTCTGTCCAGGCCCAAGAAATCCAGCAATACTCAGGTAATTGGGCCTATCTCTTTAAAAGTTAGAGCATCATACTGTTTTGCAGGACTCAACAACAGACTTAAAAGGAGCAAACGGCAAAACTCAGTGACAAATGGGAAGTCTTCATTTAATCTCAATAAATTAAAACTAATAGTCAAAATAACACAGAGCTAAAATTATCTTCCTATTATACAACTGTAGTTAAATCGCAAAAGAAGAATTTAAACGTAAAGTACGTCTGATCCAGAATGAAAGATGCTTCCTTGAATGTTCGCAGATTCTATGAGGTTCTTATTGAGAGCATCTATCAAGTCCCTCTGTTGAAATAAGTAGAGTTTTATTACTCCCCAAGCACTAGGGCAAGCGCATCTTTTATGTTAATGTATGTTTTGTTATGCAACGGAGATTTATCACAGGACTATTTCACCTTTTAGTGTAATGAATAGTAACTTGCAGTTCTTCCTAGTTTTGGTGATTCTCTTGTTGCTTGGAAAGCTTAAACCTTCCACCAGGATTGTAAGAGAGCAGCTTCTAAATTCTTTTCATGCCCAGAGTCACCGAGGTCTCCTGGTGGGAAGCTCTGTGCTCTGTCTCCTGTTTGCCGGCAAAGCTGCTGCCAGTGCATCCCAGATGCCAGCCCAGAGAGAGCTGGTGACAGTCAGCTGGTCCCGCTCAGCAGCAGTCTAGGGAAAACAGAGATCAACTTGAGTTCTTCTTTTACAAAAATTTACATCTGACTCCTGTTCATCGACATCTCAAAATATTTTATGTCGTTCATGCATTTATAGTTAATCGTTCACCACGAGGCAGTAAGGCTATTATTTGTCTAAAATGTTTTTGTGACAGCTCAAGTGTTTAAAAAGTAGGTCTCAGGATTCTTCTTGAAGACGTCTTTTAAAATATATGGCCTTTTGATAATATTTTATACATTTTCCAATTAGATTGTGAAAATTGGTTAGCTGAGGTGACTCTTGCTTCTCAACTAAAAAAGGGTATCTTTAATCTCAGTATTATCCTGAAACTAGTGGGCCAGGCTAGGAATGAGATATGAGGGGGAATGGGGCAGACATCTCCTGAGGGGACTGTACCGGGATGGCCGTACATGAATGAGTTGTGCACAGGGCACTTGAGAAACTTTACTCTGGCAAAGCAGAACATAGGACTGTGCATACGGCACAAAACAGATGATGTACAGATGCCAGTTTAACTACACAAAGCAGAGGTTGTCTCAAGCCCCAGGAACCAGGGAGACTTAATCCAAAATAAGTTACTCTCCATACACCTCCTGGCCAAGCTCAGTACTATGTGCATAGTAGGGCCTCACACAGGCTTGTTAAACTGAATTGAAATGGTCTTGAAGACAGGTGAGATTTCCTAGTGGAGGCTAGACAGGGGGGCCTCCCAGGTAGAGGATCCCTGCAAACCAACAAGTCTTGGGACCAGGAAGGCACAGGATATTCTTGGAAAATCGGAGTAGTTCAGTTTAGGGGAGAGTAGGACCAATCATGTGTCATATCTGGGTTGTGCTGTTTCTGTTTGCATGGTGCCTGCCCATCCCTGAGACCGTACAATGCATGCCCAGCATAACTGTTTGATGCCTGTTTGTTCTGTGTTTACTGAGATTGGAAGGTCAGGTGACTGGATTTCTGGCTTTTCATGAAAGTTTCTGGGCCCAACCCAAGATTCAGAATTCCTCTGGATGGAGCTTAGGAATGTATATTTTACAAAGATAAAGGGGAGATTTTGAAGCATCTTCACACTTACGAGTTCCTGCCTGGCCTGATGAGGAGGTCACTAAAGCTTTTTTGATCAAGGCAGTAACAGATTCAGAGCTGTGTTTCAGACATCAGGGCCCTCAGGCCACCACATGCAGGACAGATTGAGGGAGAAAGAAATTGGCCTCTGAGAAATCATATTGGGACTAACTTTAACCTCCCAGACAAAAGTCATTAAGACCTAAGTCAAGCAGTAGAAACAAGAATGAGAAAATAAATCAAATGCAAAAGGGACGGACTGGATGGATGGGAGTGGTGAGAAAGGACAGCTTACAAAAGACAGCTGGAAATTTCAACTCTGAACCACTAGGAAAACAGTTGTATGTCCCCTCCCCCTTCTGTCTCCCTTGCTCCTGCCTCTCTTCCCCTTACACATGTGTTACACATGCCTCCCTCCTTACACACACACACACACACACAAACACATGGGAAAATAACGTTCCCTTGGGGGCCGTGTTAGGGTAAGTTGCTGGTGAGCCATTCACATGGCAGAAAAATAAAATTTGGCTCTAAAACTATGGAGAGAAATTGGATCAAGATAATTTCTCTTTGGTAGGTTTCTACATGAAAATAATAATTGGGTTTTTCATAACAGTCAAATGAAATATACTTCAACAAATTAATGCTTCTTCTTAACCAAGGTAGAAGGAAAAGCAACCTCAACACATAGAACGGATTTACCTGTAGACCACAGAACCTGTGAACATCGGACATGCTTCTGAGTGGAGTTTACATCTCAAAAATCATATTGATTACTATTTTAAAAAGTTACTTGCAGCATTCGTTTTGGCTCCATGGCCTCTTTTTATATTTTGGGTGAACAAATTTTACCTAAATGCCTTATATGTGATAGAGGTATAGGAAGGGTGATGCCATCGTTGTGTACAAATAATATCAGTGCACATTCACGTGTGTTCCATGACCCACAAAGGGAAAACTGACAGGGTTTCTGCGTGCAAGGTTATGAAATCCAAGAGTCACGTGGTGTAGCAGAGGTTAAAATAGAATTTTAGGCTGACTGACTTTGGGTCCAATGACAGCTTCTTAGAGTATTAATTGCAACCTGGCGGGCTGGAGGATTGTTGATGGAACCATGATAGCATTTGGGTCTTAGCTTTCCATTGAAGCTTAGAAGGATTGGACAATGTGTTCAGTCTGCACGTTCAGATAATTCTGTTTGGTTTTGAAATGGAAGAAACTTCCCACATACATTTAGAACTCTTTTGAGAGCGGGCACACATTCCCTCTGTCTGGGGGATTCCACAGGGTTTACATAACCCTGGTGTCTTTCCACAGTTTGTAGATGTAGACGGTGAGAAGCTGGCTTTCCATTTTGGTCCTGAAGTTGCCTCACTTCATCTGAAGGGATCATAGGCAATTTTGGTCCATTTTGCATAACAGAACCAAAGACATCAGCAGAAACTTCCCCCCACTTCTTGGAGGTGGACGAATTTGCTGTTTGCCCCGTGGTCCTTGTTGAACCCACACGACACCCTGCCTAACTCCCTTTCACAGCCGTCAGGCCATCCAGAACTTCCCTTGCCCGCCTGGTAGAAAGGGTCCCTGCAGGCCATCATTTTGCAGATGCTGCCCACTCCTGACTCAGGACCCCAGCATTAGACTCGCTGGTCACTTACTGCCATCTAGTGGCTCTTTGTCTTTCAACGTTCTCTTCCTATTTCTTTCCGAGGAGTTTTTCCACTGGAGTTACAGGCAAATTGAAATGATACAAATGTGTGTTTAGGATCGGGTTATGAATGTGACCAAGTGACAGGATTGTTTGTTCTTAAGTGAAAGATCTTGATTCTTTAGGAGCTGGCAGTACTCTAAGGTGTGTGTGTGTGTGTGTGTACAAGTGTGCCCGTGTGTGCATGTATGTATTTGTGTAATCAGTTCTGTGATCATTTCTTCTCTTTGTAGCTGGGGAAGGAAGGTCAAGCCTTACTGATGGGACAGTCAGTATAAATCAGAGCTTTGAGCAGGAGCAAGCTTGCCCCCTTCCCCCAGGGACATTTAATAATGCCTGGAGACGTTCTTGTTTATCACAAGGTGGGAAAGGAGCTCCTGGCGCCTCGTAGGGAGAAGCCCGGGGTGCTGCTAAACAGCTTCCGTGCGCAGGACAGGCCCCCACTGCACAGCAGTATCTGGCCCAAACCTCCTCATTTTGCTCTACGACAGTCTTCTCCCCTCTCTCCCTCCCTCTCTTCTCTCTCTCTTCTCTGTCATGTCACAAAGTGTACATATCCCTCCCTGAGCTGGCAGCAGTGCCACTGAAAATAACAAGCGGGTCCTTTGTCAAGGCCCTGGGCAAACTCACTTGCACTCTTGCCTGACATCTCAGCATATCATTTTAAGCTAAAGTAGGCTACTCCTCTAAAAGGTGCCCCACCACCTAGGTGGAAGGCAAGGTGGGCTGGGACACGGTGCGCAATGGGAGCAAGCCCCAGTGAGCCCCGTGCTGCTGCGCCTGCGCTTTCTGAGGCCCTTGGTGTTGACGCCCATCTGTGGTCTGCTCGCTCCCCCAGTGAGCTGGAAGACCTTGTTGAAGACTTGAAGAAGGACTCTGCGTCGGCCGCCCGAGTGGTGACTCTAAAAGACGTGGAAGATGGGGCTTTCCTCCTGCGACAAGTGGGAGAAGCTGTAGCTTCTCTGAAAGGTGAGCTTCCTCCTTGGAGGGAGAAGTCTGAAGAGCATTTCCCACGGTTATTAAAAATCTGTCAAACACTGAGGGCTTCATTCATTCATTCATTCATTTACTCATGCATGCAAGTATTCATCAAACAACTTCATGGCCAGGCACTGCTTTGGACACAGGATCTACCACTGAACAAAATAGGCAAATGTCCACATCTTCTTGAAGCTTATATTGTAGTGAGTACTATAAGATTTAGGACAAAATGATAATAGCAGTTGTTCCTCATTGGGGTCTTACAATGCACCAGATTCACTAAAGACAACCCTGAGGGACAGTTGGCCTTATCCCAAATGTACAGACAGGAAGTGTGGCCTAGAGGAGCCCTGCCCTTGCCCACGGTCATTTTGAAGCCATCTCTGCTTGACGTGCTTCTGCCACCTGCAGATGTGGGAAGGGCGCTGTGGCTGATGAACCCCATGAGCCGTACCCTGTCCAGTGTCGGGTGTGGGATGGGGAACTTGCTGTTCTGACTCTTTCCCCTACAACTCAGCCCCTGCTCTTGGCCACAGGAGAATTTCCGACCTTACAAAACAAGATGCGAGCCATTCTGCGCATTGAGGTGGAGGCCGTGCGGTTTCTGAAGGAGGAGCCGCACCGGCTGGACAGTCTCCTGCAGAGAGTGCGGAGCATGACCGACATCCTGACCATGCTGCGGAGGTGACTGGGCTTCCTGTGGGGCCTGCAGAGCTGGGGTTGGGGGTGCTGCTGGGAAGGTCGGGGGTGCACAGTTTGGACTCCCAGGCTTCCTCCATCTCCTGGGACCTGTCTCCATTTCTGTGATGTATCACATCTAATTTCGGTGTCCTCCTTCACACCTGGGGTTTCTGTTGTACACAGGACTCGAGGTCCTGATTCTTCAGCACAGGCTTGCTGCACTTGGCACATGCTAGCACTTAAAATTTACTAGTAAACGTAGTAAACATTTTTAAAAAATCATCTGAAGGTTGTTCCTCTAAGAAACATTTTGAAGTTGAAGAATGGATCAAAATATATTATTTGGCCTCAGTTCAAAGGAAATGAAGAGAAATAAATAGAGCCTTTCTTGAGTTACCTACTGAAAGAGTATCTGAGAGATTGTTGATCCCACCTAGAAAAGAGAAACAAACCCCCAGCCCCCTTACCTGCCCGTAAAAGAGGGTCACAGTAGAAGAAAGACTGAAATAAAACACATCACCGAATCATCCATGACTTTCACTGAAAAAAAGTTCTTGAACTCTCCCCACATAAAAAGTGATAACGTATATGCATGCAGGATTTGTGCAGCCAGAGGCACTTCATAAATGCCATCTCGTGTGCCATTGTTTACTGTGTCTTCGGGTGACAAATAGAATTCCTCCTTCTCAGCACAGTCATTCATAACAACAGCTTCTGTCTGCGAGCACTTTCTACGGATGAGGCAGTGAGCTCAGCCCTCGGCCAGTGCATCTCACTCAGTCCTAACTGAAAGCCCCGGGCAGGCACTGTCATTCCACGGTACAGGGAGGATCTCAGCCTCGAGGAAGCTCACTTCAGGTCAGAGGTGAGGCTGCGGTACCAACTGGCGGTTTGACCCCAGAAATCAGAGGTAGTTCTGATCTCACCACCAGGCAGTCAATAATATTTGGACTTTCTGCCTGTTCCAGCCCTGCTATTGGGTGTTGAGAATATGATAATAAACAGGGTTCCTCTCTCACATGAGAAATAGACACAACTACCAAAATAAACTCTTTTCCAACAGTGGCAGTCCTTGAGTTTTCGGTTCTTTAATAGAACTAGGAAGCTGCAGAGACATTACCCTTCAGCTCCTACACCAGACTGGAGAGCAGGTCATAAACAGAAGTAACATATAAGACAGCTTCTTGGGAGAATTTTAACAACTAAGCATAATCATTTGATTAAATCTATAAAAGAAATATATTAAATGTGCACTTGACTTTCAGGTGAATTATTAGCTGTAGGAACAAGTGAGATTATTTTGATAACAATGACCTCAGAAAAGAGCCTCTTTTGAGATGGAAACGTATCATCACCTGCCTGAGCTCCAGGAGGCCAGCAGCGGCCTCCGGGAGAGACCACACCTGACTGGGTACAGGAAGAAACTGTGCCTGAATTACATCTTCCAATAGCTCCTTTCATTTTAAGTTGCCGGAGGGAACCTTTTCTTCCAGTGGGATAAAAATCTGTTAGAGGAATTCTTCATGAAGCTCTGAGCCTAAATGTGGTAACCCATCCGCAAAGCCTGGAACAAAGGACCCTTGTTCAGTGGAAACAGATAGTGGGCTGGCATATAACACTGCCCGTTCGCCCTTCTCTTCTCTAAAAAACAATGAAAAGAAAGTTTTAGAGCCAGCACTGGGATGACGCTCAGTGTTTACCTTATCTCCAGGGAATGCAAGTTCTAAAAATAGATGTGATTCGTGTTTTGAATGTTATAGGACTTTTTGTCCTGTAATGCTCAGTGATCAGCATGACAAGCCCAGGTAAGTGACTTTTGAAATGAAAATAAAAGTAATTTCAACTGCCATCAGACTGCCCACCAGAAGCCTTTATACTTTTAGTTTTCTATTGGTATCTGTTGTGTGTAATGGGCTGTATCTGGCACAGTGGAGAGATTGTGAAGGAGACAGGAATATGCATGGCGCCCCAAGGACAGGCAAAGAAGATAAAGCAGGTGACAGTCACAGTTCAGAGCAACTTAGCAGCTCAGGAAGATGAAATGTTTTGACACGTATTGAATTTGAGGTGCTGGAATGATAACCAAACATAGCTGCCCACTAGACACTTAGAAATGTGGAGACTTGGAAATGTTCAAGAGATGGAGACAGAGGGCTGTCCCTGCCTAACTGGGAGGGAGGGAGGGAGGGAGGGAGGGAGGGAGGGAGGGAGGGAGGGAGGGAGGGAGGGAGGAGAGATTTAGAATCAGAAGTTGCCTTTGTGAAGATGATTATTAAAAATAGAAGAGATGGCCGTGGTAGACTGAGGGGAAGGAGGGGACAGATCCTTAGGCATCCTTGGGGATAGAAGGGACAGGGTAGGAAAAGTAAACAGCAAAAGAAACGGAGAAGTGAGTAGCAGAAGAGCGTCATAGGATACACTGTCTTTTTTCAGAGTAAAAAGAGCATTTGAGTAGGAGGGGAATGAGGGACAGATTAAAAATGATAGGTCAAGTACCATGTTTCACATTGTCGTACATGTATGACTTTGCATTGATCCTAACCAGCACTGCTGAGGAAGGCACCACCAACATTGCTGCCATCATCGTTATTACAGTCTATAGAAAAGTGTACCGTTCCTGCCATTGTATCAATAGAACGTGGTAGAACTGATATGCAGATACAGGTCTGTCTTTCTCACTGCACCAGGGATGGAGGTGGACAAATAACATAAAATGACCCCAGAGAGCAAAGCAGAATGAGGACTAACCCAGCTGCTTGATTTGGTATCACTGTTGCCATTGCAGAAGCTTGGTTAGGGCCAGGTAAGGAAGCCAGATCGCTCCAGGCTGAGCTACAGGAAGAGCGAGCATAAGGAATTAGAGCATAAACTGCCCTCCCAAGATGTTTGGCAGTGAAAGGAACAGAGTGTGGGGTGTTAGGAAGCTTTGAGAGTTAGCACTGAACATCTGTGAGAGCTTTCCGGGCAAGATTGGGTAGAGGAGATGTTAGAATCACGTGATCACTTCATGCTACCATCTCCCCCTCTAGATGGTGATGGCATCGTGTCAGGGCCTGCCAGTGCTAGTGGACAGAGCAAACAGGCCATCTCCTGAGAAAATGCCTGAGAAAGCAGCTGCCAGAGATAACCAGGGGGTAAATCACTGGTGTTGGCAAGTTGCCACGGAAACCCTCAACCTTGAGCTGCTACTCTGAGTTTTAGAATGTTGTAATTTTGCAATGAAATTTTGACTGGCTTTGGAATGGCACTGCATTCAATACCACACTTTCACATGAAGTGGAAGTTACTTATTTCAGTAGTTAATTCTACTGTACTTTCTCCTAGACACGTCACCGATGGGCTCCTGAAAGGCACAGATGCAGCGCAGGCTGCACAATATGTTGCTATGGAAAAGGCCACCACCGCAGAGGTCCTGAAGAACCAGGAGGAAGCACCACAGGCCTCAGGCCAGCACCCCCAGGGCACAGCAGTCCCTCGAGACGTGAAGGCGGACGTGGTGCCCTTGACGGTCCACCGCGCACAGAGCTCTCCTGTGCTCATCCAGCCCTCCCAGCTCTCCTCTGCCCTGCTGACCCCACCCCAGCACTCGCCTGGGGGGGCCAGTCCTCAGCCAACCAGCTCTCCAGCTGTCACACAGGAGGTGCCCCCTGCTCCGCAGTCAGCACAAGCAGCACAGTGCCCACAGGCACCCATGAACGGTGCCGCCATGCAGAGCATGTTCATGGAGGAAATCCACAGTGTCAGTGCCAAGAACAGGGCGGTGTCCATTGAGGTAGAGTCCTTTTTCCATCTTTTGTAACCCCATGAAGGAGGGTAACCCATGGTCCTTCCCCTCAAACACTTTGCAGTCTGGCTATAGAGATAAGACATATGTGTCAGAGTTATATTTTTATTTTAAAAATGTGCGTCTATATAATAACATATCAGTGAAAGATAGATTTTTTTTTAAAAACTCTAAGTGGGTTTCAATGGCCAGGTTAAGGGAAGGGTTATCAGATTGCAGAGAAGCATCAGATGCCTAATGTGTAGGAAGGTGAGGCAGTGGAGTGATGGGAAGTGTACAACAACCAGCTCTCTGGTGGGAAAAGTCCCAATTGTGGCATTTGCCAATTTCTGAGATGTGAAGACTCCCACCACCACTGATTCCGAGTCAGAACACGGCATCATAGAACATTCCGTTGGGAAGACATGCGAATCGGCTCTCCCGAGCCCGTGGGAGCCGGCTCAAGCATGCCCCTGGTGAACACAGGCCTGGGGAGGGTTTGCTGCCGATCTTCAAAAACAAGTAGCGTCTGGGTAAGCAGAGAAGGCTGGGGAGGGCATTCTAGGGTAGAGAAATGCTGGAGCAAAGGCCGGAGCTGTAAGCAAACCTGTTTAACATGAATGAGAAAGAGCAGATAAGGCTGGCAAAACAGGCCAGAACCTGACCCGGGAGAGCTTGAAAAGCAGCCCGGGATGTCTAAAGTTGATTGTGTAGGTATCACAGGAATGCTGCAGCCTGAACTGGTGATAAAAAATGGTATCTTCAGAAAATTAATCTGGACACTATATACAGAACTGACTGAGGTGCTGGGCCTGGAATTAAGAGAGAAGAGATAGGTGAGAAGTTATTACAGTAGTCTCAGAAGAAAAGGCAGAAGCAGTCGAAATGATTAGAGAAAGCTAGGCCTTCGGATCACAAAATATAGAGAAAAAAATGCTACATTTTTAAGATAATTTAATCAAGAGCTGGCATTGGTGCTCAAATAACGCACTTGGCTTCCCTAGTGCTCTCCTTCCTCTCACCCCATTTGTTTCCGCCACTCGTGATTGTATCCTCAACATCCTGGCCCTAAGCACTGCTGCCTCTCCTGGTGCAAGGGATAACCTGGGTTTCAGAGGAGATGACCTCTTGCAGTTGCTGAGGTCATGGTCATGGCAACTTCATCTCTGAACACTAGGTAGCTACTCTCTGCTCCAAAGTCAGAGTCTGTGCCCCTGATCCAAGTGGGCACCTACAAAGTGCACTGGCTGACTGACGATGACCCATGGGGCGTGCCTACCGGGTGAGGTAGAGAACTGAAAACACATTTCCTCCTGAGAGTGAATAGATTTGCCACTTCAAACATGCCCATGTTTAAAGTATGACAAAGGGACAACTGTCATGGAATAAATATCTATTGGAAACCCACTGGGCACAATTATCACTGTTACAGGGGTATTTTAAGCTATGGGTTAGCTATGGCACTGACAAATGGGATGAGCACATTCACTCAACAGATATCACGGGGCCCCGCTGCGCACCAGGCCCTCATAGGCTCTGGGGTAGGCAGTGAACAGAGCAGATGAAGTCCATGCCCTCAAGAAACTTACCTGTTTGTAGGGAGAGACAGAACAAGTATATGCCAGGCGGTGATAAATGCTAGGAATGCAAACTCAAAGGATGGTGAAGGTGGAGGCCGTGATTTATAGTGAATCTTGGGCAAATCCTTTACCTCACTGGGCCCAGTGCTCTCATGTGTTGATTCAGTCAGTGACAACCTGGGTCACTTCTAATGTCAACATTACAGGGTTCCACCAATCCTGGTGCAAACTTCCACTCTGCCCTCCTGGAATGATCCATGTGCCATCTCAGAATCACAGTCAAATGTCTCTTAAGAGAATGCACAAATATTTAAGAATACATCTTATAGATTCCCTATCGTAGACCTTGATAGAGCTCCCAGGTCATCTAAACGCCCCTCCCCATTTTCTGAGGAAGAAAACGTGGCCCGTGGCCATGTAGCAGGTCTTGGCCACAAGTGCACTAACGGAAAGGATTCTTTGCTCCTAGTGAGTGTTTTGGTGTTTGTTTGCTCGAACATCTCTACAATGAAAACTAAAAAACTTGGTTATAGATAATTATCTTTTTATTTGCTATTGGTAGAAATACATAGTAAGTGCCCAGTCATCATTTTGTGAGTAAACTTGAGTTTCTGAGCTTGCTTCTCTGTATCACTTGAGCTTACATGCAGCCCATTTAGCTCTAGAAGCTGGAGCAGAGAGCACAGAGGTCAGGTTTGCCTGATGTGCAGTCTCACTTGGCACGGAAGCCAGAGCACTCTTTTACCTACCATTGAATTGTTACGCCTCCTCCCACCGACAGGATATCTCTAAACAATTAATTAGCTTTCTACTCCAGTTTTAAATTTTTCTCTGCCTATTTTCCTTCAGAAAGCAGAGAGGAAGTGGGAAGAGAAAAGACAAAATCTGGACCACTACAATGGGAAAGAGTTTGAGAAACTCCTAGAAGAAGCTCAGGCCAATATCATGAAGTCAATTCCAAACCTGGAGATGTCTCCAGCCTCAGGCCCACAGCCAAAGGGTGAGGCTGCCGTGGACAAGCTGGAACTTGCAGGTAAGACACAGACAGAGTATGTGCCTGGCTGCCCTCAGGTCCGAGTGTGGCCCCCAACCTAAGCACATGCTGGCCAAACTCTCCCTTCTTACGGATCTTATAAAATTGAAAGATTGGCAGAGCAATCCCTCAGGAGTGCCTAGAGCCTCACTACTGTAACTGTAGTAGTGAGACTGTTCTGTGTTCAGATACTAGGACAATGCCCAATAAGGAAAAAAATTAGGTTTCCCAGCTTCTGCACGTCCTGTAAACTGATGGCACTTCACAGCACCAGCTGGGAAGATACAAGGCCTGCATTTAAAGCAAGAGCTTTTCATACGCTGCAGGATGAAAACGCCAGCTTTCACGAGCTCCCGGGGGATAGTAGATCATAGGATAAAATGGCATTTTTAAAAAATCAAAATTACTCATTGTGTATTTAACCAAATAAGCTATGGAAGTTAAGCATCAATATGTCAATAACAATATAAAATAACTGTTTAAGAAGCGTAGCCTACTAAATCTCCAATTACAAACCATGTGCCTTATTCTAATATTAAAATTTTGCCTGGCCAGTGTAGCTCAGGTGGTTGGACAGGCCTGTCCAGGCCCCTGGAGGGTCAGGTCCCAAGACCCAGGAGCGACAAGCCCTGGGAGGGGCAGCTCCGCTCACAGCAGCGGCTTTTCTCCCCGAGTCCCCTGGAGAATTTCCGATGGAGAAAATGACCTACCCCATTGCACGTCTGTCTTCCCTAGTTCAGCTCTCCCACTGTTTATTTTGTCATAGAGTCTTCTTCGATGTTTTAGAAGTACAAATAAATTACAAACTTATAATGATAAATAAAGTACAATTGTCCTTTCTCCTGATTGTACAACAAGAAATAATGGCTATATTCTGTTAACCTCACTTGGAACTTTTATTTTTTCAGATTTCAGACATTTGCATAAATTATATTTTAAATTACTTTCCAACACGTTTTTACTTAGATAAGATGCTCTTACTGTTGCACTTTTCTTTTTTACCACCTGGCCTGGTTTCTTATCCAAAAGAGTGCACTAAGGTCTAGGCTGCCAAGAACGGGTTAGGGCGTCCCCAGCATCTGTAAGCTTTGGTTCTACTATTTTTATTTATTTGTCATGGATGTTATGGTTTTTATTTTTATATACTAATGAGGTAAAATTCTAAGCTTGGGGTTTTAAAAGATTATTTGTATCTCCTTTTGTGTGTATTATCTGACTACTTAAGTAATGGGGGAGGATGGATAGTTCCCCCAAAATCAATGGAAAAAGTGAGGGTTTGGCCTCAGTCGATGTTAAAGCAAAAGTTATTCACAAAGACATAGTTAAAGAACATCAAGAAAGACTTTATTCAAGACGGTTGCAAAGGAGGAGAGAGACTGAACTCAGCTCTGAATGTAGCCCATCGAGGATAGTGGGATTCCTGTGGAAGGCAGGCCAAGGATTTAGCTATCAACGGGGAGGAGGGAAGAACTGGTCAAATACCAAGAATGGGAATTCTTGTTAACCTGGATTCTTTGCTAAAACTCAGTTCAGCAGGTTAAGGTCAAGGTATAGCCAAGCCTTGGCTCAGACGAGCTTGAAGGGATTGGTCAAATAGGAAGTCTGTCATCGTACCTGAGAGGAGAGAACTGGGCTGGTGAGCCTGGGCCAGTCCCTAGAGGGACCCAGGGTGCAGGTAACCACCTTGAGCCCAGACTGCTGGCATGGACACCAGCCACATGGCCTGATGCTGCTGGAGTCCTGTAACCCAGCACCTCACACATGGGACAGGACCTGCCCACTACAAATAATCACGAGCATGCCACTCCGATGACATACCCAAGTTACCACAGCTTCAAATGGGAACTCCTCAAGCAGTTTTCTAAGGAACGCTGTCTCAGAAGAGACAAGCACGGCAGTCCCTTGGGAGAGTTGGGGAAATCCAGGCTTTCAGGAGCTGTTGGCTAGAGTGTTTGTAAAGGGCTGAAGTGAGAGGAAGGTTGATCGAGGACAGGAAAGAGGCTCTTTGAGTTTTGATTAAGAATTGCCATTTTCCGAGTTTTCTGAGGAAAGCTGAGCAGATATCTGAATCTCCTACTCTATGATGTCGATGCTACTTTATAATTCTCTTTACTGCATTTGCTGTCTCCTTTCCTTAGCAGCAAGCCTTTTCCAAGCCCATAACCATGACCCCCAAAATCTACTTTTCCCCTGATTCTGCTCTCTGTTCCCATTGGCTTCCTGGCTTCCTCTGTCCCTTCCTTGGCCCCCTTCCACTCTCACACACCCGTCTGAATCCTTCCTGCAGAGGCGGTCGACTAAACTAGGGGCATGAAGGCTTTGGAGGCCATGCAGTGGGCTCTGGATTTGCCTTCACGTCTGATCTTTCATGTCTCCAAGTAACACTCAGCTTTTTTGTTTAATAGTGACAGCTAATACTTGCATAACACTTATAATAAGCCAGTAGGCACTGTTCTAAGTGGTTTATGTGTATCAAATCACTTAATCCTCACAGCACCCCAGTGGAGGGGATATCATTACAACAGTCATTTAACAGGTAAGGGAATCAAGGCAGAGAAAGGTTAAGTAACTTGAGTTAGGTCTTTCCGGGATTTCAAGCCAGTTGGGCTGCAGGGCTTATAGCTTTAATTTTTGTAATATAGAGAGAATAGAGAAATTTTTAAAGTTAGAATGCATCAATTTTATGGAATTACAGTGGAATTTTTCTGGGCATCATCTTGAAAAGAGACTATTATGCAAAGATATACTTTTTTTTCCAGAAGACTCTCCAAATTCAGAACAGGACTTGGACAAGCTGGGGGGTAAGTCCCCACCGCCTCCTCCCCCGCCCCCGAGACGGAGCTACCTGCCAGGATCAGGGCTGACCACCACCAGGTCTGGCGACGTGGTCTACACCAGCAGGAAGGAGAACGTCACCACTAAGGTCAGATGGGTTAAGCCCTGGTAAACTGGTCTCTGGGTTTGGATGATCCTCTTAGACAAGGTCATCTCTATTCTTATTTAGAACATAAAAAGGAGTGAGGCAGAGAAGAGAAGCCCAGAATCAAATAAACTAGACCACCAGGAAGTACCACAGATGGAAAAACATCAGCCAGTGTTACTGGGCTAGACTCAGCACCACAGGTTTTATCCTTACTTGACTTTTAGCTGCAACTACGTGAAATACAAATCACAAACTACTTCCCCAGTAGGTCATCGTAAGATTGACAATAAGGATAGAGAGTGAAGCAAAAAAAAAAAAAAGACCACCTTACAAAGATAACTGAGGTTAGCTAACACAGTTGTGGGGTCCATACAGAAAGATGTTCAGTGAGCTTTAGCTTGTACTTGGCCAATTTGTCTTTTATGTTCAACATGAAATTCAAGTTTCAAGGAGAAAGAGTATGGGAGGTCCCTTCATAAAGGCACAGAATATTGAGGAATTACAGTTGTATTACAATTCTTCAATCCATTCACCAAAATGGTAGCTTGCATAAACAAAAACTGAAACTCACTGCAAGTGGTCAAAACAGCCATTCAGCTCCCGTTGAAGAGCTAGGAAACCAGCTTACTAGGCAGTGAGGGAACACGAGGTCTTCCTGCACTCTCCCTCTGTTTGTCATTACCTGGGGGTGTTAAGCCAATACCTGTGGTTTGAATCCTCCATAGGCTAGCAGTGAAGATGCCGGACCAAGCTCACAGGCTAGAGCCACAAAATGCCCAGCAGAGGAGCCTGCTTCTGCCTGGACCTGTTCCTCAAAGGATGAGGAGGAGGAGGAAGAAGGAGACAAAATCATGGCAGAACTCCAGGTATGTGGTGAAGTGACTGGCTAGGGCTCCTTGCCCTTCCCATCAGAGATGCTGACCACGTCGCTTACAGACTCCTTAGCTAGAGAAGGCTGGCAAAGAGCCCCAAACCCTGAAACGTCTTCTGGCCTTGACCTCCACTGGGCTCTCAGGGCACCTTTAAGATGTGTATAAGGAACGACCATTTCACAAAAGCAACTGAAAGTCTACACAAAAAAATCAACTGTAGTCTTTCTTAGCCCTGGCTGGTAGAATTTACTTTCCTTTCTTTCAGTCTTCATAGTCTCTGTTTCATTTCAAAAACAATTAAAAGGACATCAGAAACACCAGCCATCATCTTTTCTTGATAAGGACTGATGAAATCCCCCTCCAGGTGGGGTCCCGTCATGTGGTGTCAGTATTTAGAATGACTGGCGCCGAGTCATTCGGCCTCCTTGCCTCCACACCAGGTTCCCAGTCAATGTCAGTTTCATCTTTTCACAAACTACTTCCCCAGTAGGAGCCTTTCATATTCTGAAAGGCTCAAGTGTCTTATTTCCCATTTTCCTTGACCAGTTAAGAAATTATTATTTATTTTTAGATTTTTAAACTAATACCACAGTCTACTCATAGGATTAAAGATGGGGACCCAAATTTGATCCCACATTCAAATCATGGATGTGAATCTGCCCTAGAAATATGTTTTAAGAGCTTAACTCATCAAAGACATACACGTAAGTCTTAGACCAAAGTCTGTTTCTACTGTTGCATTTCAGCCCATGCTTATTACAGGATTATTGCTCTTCAGGTGGTAGACCACAACTCTCCCAGGGCTCCAAAACATGTTACCGCTTCACCCGGGTTCCTGCAGTTTTGTGCAGGCCTGAGGATCTGCATTCCTCATTTGGAACCAGGAGAACTTTCAAACCCTGTCATTTCCACTGCTTCTGTCCTGCTGTGCTTTCCATGGTAACCCCTGCCAAAGAGGGGTTACCAAGCAGCTTGCTTGGATTTTCTAGGGAATACAGAGCAGCTGGTTGACAGTCACATGCACAAGCCTTCTGAGCCTCACTAAACCTCACAGACTAGACTGGGACCTCCCCTCCACCAGTTGGACTATTTATAGGGTTCTTGTATGGCTGGAGAATTGCCTTCATAGGAATCACAGATTTATTAACTCACAGGGCATTTGAGAGCATGGACACATCCATTACTCATTTATCCAGAGAGGACCCTCTGGCCGTTGACACTGACATGTCAAGGCTACTTGTCGCTGGGGATTGGCATGTGCTAAGATGTGTATACAGAGTCTGGGGCCATTCATTGTAGCATCTGTCCTGAAATTTAGGGTGTGAACTGATCATGACCCAGTTTGGTTCAAATGGCTGACAGAGCACTAGATCATTTTAAATCTGTACAAGGTGAACAATTACTGATAAACAAAGAAGTAGAGACTTTTAGGCTTATGAATAATCCTGCACCAGCCTCCTAAGAAAAGTAACTTATTTGTTCCAGCCACTTGGAGCCCATCCCTTGAGAATATTGCCCTCCATTGAAGTCTGAACATCTTCGATGCTTTAAGCTGCAACTTAGAAATTTAACTGAGAACTTTACAAAAGCAAAGTATCTGGCTTCTTGCTTTACTATTGGTGGTTAGGTAATAGTGGTGAATGAAGTACTATAACCTTAACCAAACCCTGTTAGCCATCCTGCTGGAGTAAGAACCAAACCTGCTGCATCAGAAAGTTGGCCAATGGCTCTGGTTCTACAGGCTTCCTCCTGCAAACCCCAGGCAGGTCAAGGAGCAGCTAAAGTCTCCTGAGTATGTTCGCAGGACAACATTCCTGCTCCGTGTCAACAGGCACTATTAGAAACCACAGGCTCTGACAGAGTCCAGGGTCCACCAGTGGTGGGTGGTCTTAGTGAGTGGGGCCCTGGGCAACTCCGGGGCCAGCGAGGAGGCTGGTGTGGGGGGAACAGGGACTCAGCAAAGCGTGGAAAGGCAGGCTGGGGAGAGTCCCAGGCACTAGCTCCGTTCTTATTTTAGGACCAGCGCTGAAATATTCACTTGGAGATGGCAAGGGTTCTTCTTTCTGCCTGTGGTTATTTCCAAATGGCAATATGACATTAAGGAAATATGAAAGGATTATCTGAGATGACTCATTTGATAGGTGGTTTTTAGTCCTGGTTGCACATTAGAATTACATAGAGACTTTTTTTAAAGTCCTACAGCCTTAAGATTCTGGCTTAATTATTCTTCAGGTGAGCCCTGGATAATAGTATTTTTTTAAACCAGGATATGTTAAAAAAAACCTCTGATTTCAAGAAACTTGGGTTCTTGGGTTTTTGTCTCTCTGCCTCTCACCATCACACTGTCACTCCCTTTCTGCCCTGTAGACACAGCCTGAGCTTTCTCTCCGCCTGAGACTGGCCTTCCTGACTCAGTGTTCACAGGAGTTGGTGCGCGCTCCTGTAATAAGGGCCGTAATCCTGTAACTAGGAAGCTTTCAGAGACAAGCCTAGGGCTCCGGCAGCTCCGAGGCCACTCAGAGTGCTGAAGAGCATCACTTGACTCTAAATGAGCCTCCGAACACCTCAGAGCATGGACTACCTGTTACCAGTCCAGACAATGAATTGATAAGGATAACTATTTTTAAAGTTTAAAGGTTTACAATATCTTGTGCCCTTTTTGTTTATAGTTTCAATTTTTTAAAAAAATGAGTCTTGTTAAAAAAAAAGAAGAAAGAAAAGATAGCTCTTTGTTTTAATTCATTTATGTATTCAATATTTTTAAAGGGTCAGAACAAGAATCCGTACTAAGTGCAAACTAAGTTCACCCTGGAAAGAGGAAGAGAGGGTGCTCTCTTCAGGGGGCTGTGCCCTCTTATCCTGGTGCAGCCCAGAAATCAGGCCACCTTTGCCCCAGGCTCCACCCGTCCCCCCCACTCTGCAGGCCTGAGGCCAAGAGGGGAGCAGGTTGTCAAGGCGCTGACGCCCTGGCCTGGTGCGACCTGCATGCAGGGACTAGCTGGGGGCTGCACACCTCTGTGTCGACTTCCTGCCTGTGCCCTCCTTCCTCCTCCTTACACTTGGAATCCTATTAACCTCAGTATTTTAATTCCTTAGGCATTCCAGAAGTGTTCCTTTATGGATGTAAATTCAAACAGTCATGCTGAGCCGTCCAGGGCTGACAGTCACGTTAAAGACAGTAGGCCGGGGGCCACAGTCTCACCCAAGGAGAAGAAGGTAACGTGGCAACCACACGCTGGCCACGCGGGCAGACAGCCCTTCTTTCCTTGCTCTGACACTAACACCGCTCCTGCGCTTGTTCTTCTGTACCCTCTATTTTTTCTCTCACCTTAAACAAACACACACACAGATAGACAGACAGACAGAAAAAGCTAAAGGAGACACAGCTTTGGGTTTAGAGATGACTGGCTGAGCTTTTCTGAGCAGACATGTTGTTCCTTATATACAAGGTATGATAGCATGTGCATAACTGAGCCATTATCTCTCCAAAGTAAAGAATATACACCTTTCAAGATTTTCTAGAATGACTCTTCAAAAGAAAAGGAAAGAAAAAAAGAAAGGAAGGAAGGAACAGCACTTTTGCTATGTTTCCTGGACCAAAAATGTCTACATTAAAAATAGGTGAAAGCCTTCGATTCCAGGCAGAAAACGCAGGGCAGAGCCCCTGCCTGCCGCCACCCACAGCTGGATCCTCATGGAAACGTGCACATATGTATTTGCACACATATTTTTAAATGCTAAACAGAATTTCCTTAAGTATTACAAATCTCCAAGTGTACCTTCCAAGGGAGTATGTTCAGTATAGTTTTAGTGCTAATATACTTTGTGGCATTCAAGTGGCCTCAAAACAGATATTCAGGCTCCAGAACAAAGTTCATTGTCATTACCTAGGTATTTTAGGCAAAGGACATGAGCCTGAATGTTTAAACTTCAACATTAAGTTAAACCTAGAGCTTTCATGGTTTTGGGGTATAGAGCCATCTGATTTGAATGAAGCCTCTCTCCAAATTTCAGGAGAGAAAGCTTATCATGACCATCTCAAGCCCTTTTTTCACCAGAACTTCTATTTATTTCAGAAATGAGAGGTTCTAGCTTCCCTTAAATAAAGTCAAACATATTTGCTAGCCCAATTGCTACTCTAAATGGGTACCTCAGTCCATGTGTAAGTAAGTTCAGTGAGGGAGCCGAACACAATCCGCAGTCATCCTAACACAGCAGTCCTGGGGCTCCCAGCTCCCAGCTCCCAGCTCCCAGCTCCCAGCTCCCAGCTCCCAGCGGGGTCTGTGCGAACAAGGCTGGCTTGTGCCTCCCTTGCTCACAGCCACCGCAGAGCCCTGTGTGAAAGGCGTCTGACACATGAAGCCGTTAACCAGGCGACCAGAGATCTCTCGGTGCACCATGGAAGGTTATGAGATTATTGTTGATAAATCTTTCTCATGAAGAAAACCTCCTACTAATAGAATCCATGAGATCACATTGGAAATATATTACTTTTCAGTCTCCTGAGTTTCCTTCTGTGGCCTCATTAAAAGCAGGTCACAGAAGGCCTCAGCAGGTTTGAATGACATGGCGTATTCGGGCCAGCATGACTGTTGTCTAAAACACTGGGATCTGGGAGCTTCTCGAAGATCCCTCTGGAGACAATCACTGTAGAATTTTGCTAATTGGCTAGAAAGTTGCATGAAATTTTTGCCCAGTGATTAGAAATCCTTATCCCATCGCTCTCTTTAACTTAATCAGAGGTCCCTCAGATAATAATAAGCAGGTGTGTACTGAGTGCCCCAAACTGGGTTTAACCACAGGTGCTTATTCTGGATAATTACACTCAATAGGTTGATCTACTTCCTAACATCAGTATCAGACTTGTTATGAGTATTATATACAACATGAGTATCAGACTTGTTCACAAACTGTTGTCATTATTTAACCTCTTCCTGAGCTATTCATCTACTTTTCTGTAACTCAAATGTTTTCTTAAAATGTTTCTCCTATCATCATGAAGCATTAGCCTAGTCCTTGACTTTTATGCACTTTCCCTATAATTGTGTCTCTGACTTTGGTTTATTGCCTGTATGCATATTGAGCCTGCTTCACCAGTTGTCTGAACGATCCAAATCTCAGGGCCCATAAATAGATATGAGTGAAGCTTAATTACCTTTCATGCAGTCTTGACTGACTAAGACATCATTGGGAGATTACATGACAGTTGTGACCAAGTTATTCTGAACAAAGTTAATGCACTTTCTTAGATACATCCATTTTTTTTTCTAGCCCAGTGATAACAGTGGTAGGTCATGGGAAAACTACACCTCACATTTTTATCTTAGTGACTTTCCAGGGGAGTATTATTCCTGCTGCTACATCTGTTTTAAAATACACGTCTCACATGGCAGCATTGCAAATATCTGATGATGGGTGTGACATGGGCCCTGACCAGTCAGAGCTGAGGCCAGGCTACACACGGGCACACGGGGCCAGCAGGACGTCCGCTGTGCCGGCATCACCACTGGATTACATCCCAGCTCCTTCCCTGACTTGAGGGCAAATTCCCACTCAGGCCCTAACATGCTGACCCCATAGTTGGAATGGAAACTTTAGGCCCAAACCTCACTTATTTTTCTTCTTAAAACTTTTTACTTTATGTATTAGTTGTTTGATCATCTACATTTAAAATCCCACAGAAGATGCTGTGTTGTTCGACTGCAGCCGCTGACTCATTGCACTCATTTGGGGGCCTCATGGAGGTGAGGGGCGTTGTACTGGCGCTGCTGGCTGGCTAACGCTCCTCCTGTCTTGTGCGCTCTTTCGTGTGATTAATGGTGACTTTGTTGTTTGTGTGTTATTCCTTAAATGTGTACGAACATTCTTTCCATTTTTAACCAGGGCGGTAGGCTTGCTCTGGGTTGACTCTGGCAGGGCCTGTGTTATTGTGCTTTGTCTTGGTCATTGCTGTGAACCAAACCGCCTTCTTGGGATTGTATACCACCCTGCTAAAACCACCTCTTCTCTTGGGCTTCTGCAGCAAGAAGAAAGGACAGCAGGGCCCTGGAAGTGACAGGGCTTGGCTAGTGTTAGTGGCATTGTGAGAGCCCCAGCAGTGACGCAGCCCCAGGGGAAGGGCGTGCTTCGCCGGGAGCGCTCTCCACTGCCGGTCCCGCCGCTCGGCTCTGCTGCTCTGGATCTTGGTACAAGCCTCAGAAGTGTATCTTTGCTCTGAATCACAGAACATAGAGAATAAAATCTGATGTTCTGGTCACCGCATTAGCATCAAATATCTGTTTTCTAAATGTTTAGGTGATATTTTAGCAGCATTATGGCACTGAATTTGGATTTGCTCTTCTTGGTAGGATTAGTTTGAAGGCTATTTTGACAGTTGCCTTGGCAAGTGCAAGTGCAAACTGCGAGTACATTCAATCTGTTATTTGAAAAAGAATGTTTTTTTCATCTCAAAGTACCATGCCCAACCAATGCAGATGTCCTTGTGGGACACTTTTCATAGACAAAACTGATAGGACTGCAATAACTAGCTGGTAGAAACCTGAAAAATCTCCCAGTCTAGTGTCTCAGTTGATAGGCCAGAAAACGAGGCCCAGAGAAGTGGAGTGACGGGCCGAAAGTAGCGCCATTAAGTGGCAGACCCGCATCAGAATCGGAGCCTTCTGCCTGCTGGTGTCCGGCGCCTTCTGCGGTGCCATGCCGTCCTGGGTTCAGCTTCTGCTAAGCTTACTCTCAGATGTGAAAAGAGGACATGTTCATGCAAAATCATTCCCTTTGTTGTCTTAACTTCTCCCCCACCAAATCTGGAATTCTTGAAATATTTTGCTAATTGAGATTTTCATCCTATGCAAACACAGGGCATTTTTGGAAGTTGGCGAACAAAACAGCCCAAGGTAAACAGAGCTATATAGGCTTTGGACTGGTGTGTAACAAATGTGCTTGGCCCGCATGTTTTGGAAGTGTAATTGAAGGAACAATTTAGTTATAGTCCACTTTGGGGGGATGTGGTTTTGTGGAGTAACATGTCCTACACTATTCTACCAGAACTTGGAATTTTTCCATGAAGACATACAGAAATCTGAGGTTGAATATGCAAATGGCCCCCAAGTGGAATCCCGAAAGGTGAGTTCCCCAGATCTGTGTTGCAACTGATCCCATGCAGATTAACGACCTTCCTTTGCAGATCCATTTCTGATTAATGTGTGTGATTTCCTTCCTCCACCCTACCTCCCAGGTTATCGCAGGGGCTTTTACACCTGGTGACCATCCTATGTGGGAAAGAGGAATGGAGAACAGTATTTCTGATGCCTCAAGAACATCAGAGTATAAAACTGACATCTTAATGAAGGAAAATCCCATATCCAATAAGAGTTTACTTAGAGACAGCAGAAACTATGCCCAGAAAAATGTGTCTAAGACCAATTCCAGTTTCCCTGGTATTAGTTCACTAGAAGATGAAATAAGCAAAGGGCCTAAAATCTCAGGACTGCAGGACCCTGCCTCTGACACTGAGAGTCAGAAGATGAATTATGTGAAGACAAAAGAGATGAGTCAGCAAGACCAAGAAAACACAGAGAAGTGTCACCAGCTCTCTCCCACTAGATCAGCTGAATTGAGTACCTGTGATATCAAAACTCAAGATCGAGAGGTTCCTGTGACAGAGTGTGGCCAAGTTGTGCTGAGACACAAGGGAGCTTGGCCTGCTAATGTGAAGCCTAATGAGGACAGAGAGTCAACCCTAAGTTCTCCCAGTGAAGAAAGTGCACCCACAGACAACATTGCCTTCATGATTACCAGAACTGCGGTCCAGGTTCTTTCCAGTGGGGAGGTCCGAGATATAGTGAGCAAAAAGGGAGAAGATGTGCAGACAGTGAATATTGATGCCAAAAAAGAGACGACTCCCCAACAAGAAGGGGCTGAAACTGAAGCGCCAGTTGTCTGCCTGGACAAGAAACCAGTCATCATCATTTTTGATGAACCCATGGATATCCGGTCTGCATATAAGAGACTTTCAACCATATTTGAGGAATGCGATGAGGAATTAGAGAAAATGATGACAGAGGAAAAGATAGAGGAGGAGGAAGAAGAAGAAAATGGAGATGCTTTGGTCCAGAATAACACCTCCCAAAAGCCTCATAAGGTTGTGCCAGGCAGCCCCGGATCAGGACTGAAGGCTGAGAGTCGACTGCCGCCACACCTCCTCTTAGAAGGCACCAAAGTATCAGGAAGACAGGACATGAATGAGACGGAGCCGACCACATGCAGCCAAGCAGATTCTCCAAGTTCAGATAGCAAGTGTGACGTGACATATGACCAATATGAAAGCCCCAAGAAAAAGTTTAAGTTCAAATTCCCTAAAAAGCAGCTTGCCGCTCTCACTCAAGCCATTCGCACAGGAACCAAAACAGGGAAGAAGACTTTGCAGGTGGTCGTCTACGAAGAGGAGGAAGAGGACGGCACTTTGAAACAGCACAAAGAAGCCAAGCGATTCGAAATTACTAGGTCTTCTCAACCTGAAGACTCGCCCGAAAATAGGCTCAAGAGACAAGAGCAGCCCATCTTAGACAGCACATCTCCCATTTCAAGAACTGATGAGATTAGAAAAAATACCTACAGAACATTAGACAGCCTGGAGCAGACCATCAAACAGCTTGAAAATACAATCAGTGAAATGAGCCCAAAAGCCCTAGTTGATACCTCATGTTCTTCCAACAGAGATTCTGTTGCAAGCTCATCCCACATAGCCCGGGAGGCCTCTCCCCGTTCCTTGCTAGTTCTGGAAGAAGCTCCCACTGCCCTAGAGCTCCCCTCATCAATACCTTCAGCTTCACGTAAGGTACCTTGGTCTGGCGGAAAATGAAAAGATCCAGCTGCTTTCTTAAATCTGCCATAATCACCATTAGCAAAAGATGTCTTGTGATTTACTTGCTTCCTTTCAGGTGGCTCATTTATTTTTTGTCTGTTCGCCTGGATACCTTTCTCTCACACTGTCTCCCTCACCTTCAAAACAACAATAACTAGGTGTCTAACAGCTAATTGATTCTGTTTACCTCTGTTGCTGATTGGTGTTGGGTACATGCAAGGATGCTGGGTCATCCATTTGCCGTTGAAATGATTGCTCTGACACTCACATTAAAATCTGTTTGATCGGTAGTGGAGCAGTTTATTCTGTTTGATTCTTGGAATTAACCCCAGTGGTGTCTTCTGACGTCCGTGTCCTAGATCTGTCCTGCATGGAGGGCTGTGGCTTCTCATGTCGAGCTTCTCTGCACACCGTGGGGCAGCCTCACCAATAATCCACTCACGTGCTTCTTCTCTTTCCCCTTCTCTGTTCTTCCCCACAGGCCTCCAGCGGGACCCCACAGACAAGCAGGATGCCAGTCCCCATGAGCTCCAAGAGTAGACCCGGGAGCCTGGACAAACCCGGCAAGCAGACCAAACTGCAGGATCCCCGCCAATATCGTCAGGTAGTTTTACCTTAAAACCCAATTTTGGATGGACACTCTTACAGTTAAGAAGCAAGTCACTGACTTAGTTTATACCAAATATTGTGTTTTCTCTGTAAGCTATGGTTTATGTAGACTTCCAGGATCTGGGGGCATGAAGAAAGTCTAAAAATCTTTGTTGAACTTTTCACCACGCTTTTGCATGCTTGCAATAAAACATCTTTTGCTGTGTGACTCCAAAGTTTAGCCATTAACACAAGCTGCCACGCCAGTTGGCTTTTCTTTGGTGAATGTAGTGGTTCATCAGAACACCTTGAGAAACCCAGCCAGACAGACCTGTTGTTCAACTGTCCTGAAACTCACCTGTACTAACATATATGTCGACTGCATTGCATCAGAGGCACATTAACTCTCCGTCACCGTGCCCCACCCCCACCCCAATAATAACCCAGACGCATGGCTGACCCGGCACTGGGAAGTGGTCTTCTTTTCTCCTGTTCTGCACATCCTTGGCTCTGTACTTTGGGGGTATTTACCAGGTCCAGTACAGCACAACAAGACTTAGCTCAGGCCTTGCACTGATGTGATTTGTTTTGGTGTCTTTTATTTAATTATTCTCAGAAGGGCTATGTTGCCAGACCCTGTGGAATGATCGTGTTACCAGCTTTCTGACAAACTGTCTCCCACCATCTTTATTTGCAGGCTAATGGAAGTGCTAAGAAAGCTGGTGGGGACTGTAAGCCTACTTTCCCCTCCTTACCTGCTTCTAAGATTCCAGCCCTTTCTCCCAGCTCTGGGAAAAGCAGTTCTCTGCCCTCTGCTAGTGGCGACAGCTCTAACTCCCCTAATCCAACTGCTTCTAAACCATCGGTTACTTCTAACCCTCTCAGCCCCCAAACAGGACGATCTGCTCCCTCTGCCTCCCTCATCCCCTCTGTCTCTAATGGCTCCTTAAAGTTTCAGAGCCCCACTCACACAGGTAAAGGTCACCATCTTTCATTCTCACTGCAGACTCCAAATGGCCGAGCAGCCCCTTCCTCCTGCTCCTCCTCCCCCCCCTCCCCCGCCTCCCCCACTTCACTGAATCAAGGTGCCAAGAGCATCAGGACCATCCACACTCCTAGCCTCACCAGCTACAAGGCACAGAATGGAAGTTCAAGCAAAGCCACCCCATCCACAGCAAAGGAAACCTCTTAAAGGCCAAATCCTATTAGGCACAAGTTGGAGTTGCATTTAAAGATTCAAAAAAATTTTAATAGTCCTCAACTGTTTTCACCGGAGAATGTAACATATTGCTGTACTATTTGAGGCTTAATGCTAAGTATGTGCTAAATATTGGATTGATCGATTTTAGTAAAGCTTGTTTTGTTTTGTTTTTTACTTCGTTGCTGTTGTAATTCCACAGTGTTCACCATCTATATTCATTCAGTACTGTTAAATGAAGTGAGCATGTGTTACCGAAAGCAAGTGTGGCGAGAGCAAAGGGTGCGTGTGAGACAGGAAAAAGTGTATTCGGCATGTAAACCATGTATGATTCCAAAATTTTAGTATGTTTTATATAAAAATATTTTTCATTATGGAGACTAGAAGTGAACAGAGAAATACACAAGTGTGACTATACAAATTGTAAAACAGATACTATAATATTTCCTTTTATTTTAGTGTTATTTAGCTTTATTACAGATTTCTATTTTTGTCAAAACTTCATGGTTCCTTTCGAGATGTTTTTTGCCAAAACATTTTGATACTATAGCATTGTACATTTGAAAGTAGTATGCTAGACAATAAGCCAATGAACTTCTCGCTGGCCAACCCCGGGACACATGTAGAAAGCAATGTATTGAACCAATTGCACTGCCGTGAAAATTATGTGTAATAATTTGCCAGCCCAAACAAGCTAGTTTCCTTTCTTTGCATTGCTTTCTGGTTTTCCTTTTTTAAAACCCCCTTCCTTGGTTTTCTCAGACCTGGCAACTGACACCGCCTAACATTGCAGACTTTAAAGTGTACGCTTCTGTACTGTTCTGTAAACTGACAAACTTCTGTAAATATGTAAATAGACATAAAAATACTGTATGTGACAGCACAGAGAGTAGTTTTCCCACACCAAAGTTAGTTTTTATGCATGCTTTAAAAATATATATTGGGATGGGCAGAAATGGAACTATCCATACCTTTTTCAAGAGCAACAAGTTTGCACAGCAGCTAGAATGTTTTTGTAAATAACTGTATTTGTATAACACAGTCATGTAATATACAGAACTATAAGCAGAGACTTTGAGAAACTAAATAAAGGGCTGCATGCTTATTATTTTTCGTACCTTGTCACTGTAGCTACTTCCTAATCAAAGAACAAAACAGAGCAATTACCAAGTCAAATGGTTTGGGCTTTGAGGGCACTGTAAATAACATGTAACCAGCCACAAATGGGTATTCTGAAAGCTGTCCTCTGAAAATTGTGGGGCGGCTCATGATGAGTTCTCAGTGCAAGTGTGGTGCCTTACAGTGTTACCTGCTGGCTGTCTTCTCTCCTCTCTGGCTCATCGAGGGTTTGGCTGGCAGAAAGCAAACCTGGGCACAGAGTTCACCCCTTCATTTACCAGGGGGGGCTCTTCTTCCTACCTTCTCTTTCCTGTTTGAATTCTAGTCAAAGTAAAGCAGAAATAAAATGTCTTTATCACTAGGATTTTTTCTGTGTTCTCAATTTTAAAAAATACTGTTGGTCTAGAGGGAACTATGCTAACATTACATTTTTCCTTTTAAAAATAGAGATAAAAGTTAGTGAAAACAATACCAAGATTATGAATTGACTGCAAGAACAATCTCTGGAACCCACTTATCATTTTTTTTTTTTGCCTCCAAAATATTTAACTTGGTGGTTCCGTGTAAAGTGCAGATTTTCTTGTTACTGTAGCAGCCAGTGTTAGTGTTCGCCACCTTTGGGCTTGCTGACCTGGGGGGCCTTCACCAGAAATATTTTATCCTGTCTCTACTCATGATAATACTTATAATCACATGTTTTAGGTAGTTCTCAGGAAAGTTATCTTATACCTTTTAGGTATAAAAGGTACCAACATTTCAGTCATGTCCCATAATGGATTCAACAGCTGCATTATGTTAAGGTAGATGGAATAGCTAGCTAATTCATGCCAGTAAATTTGCTCCTGTTTATGGAGAGCTGAGAGCAGACTGTGGCTCACACTTCAGTGTAACTTCAGACTTCCCCAAGCTCTGGCAGGACATATAGGTGATGGTCAGTTTCAACTCATGTAGTGAAGGAAAGAACAGTATCACCAGGTGAGGGAAACTCAGCATGGCCCCTGCCAGAGACCCAGCAGCCTGCTGCCTGCTCCTCAGGAAGCTGGAGGGGAAGCCGTCATAATGGGAGGAATGCAATCAGCTGTCGATGACAACAGTTAAGAAAAAGGCACTTCAGTTCCTTCAGCAGCTCAGGTGGGAGATATCAGATAGGATGAGCTGCTGGATTTTTAGATTTTGTTAAAACACTATTAGCAGCCCTGGCTGGTATGGCTTAGTGCATTGAGTGCTGGCCTGTGAACCAAAGGGTCAAGGGTCACTAGTTTGATTCCCAGTTGGGGCACATGCCTGGGTTGCCAGCCAGGTCCCCAGTAGGGGGTGTGCGAGAGGCAACCACACACTGATGTTTCTCTCCATTTCTCCCTCCCTTCCCCTCTCTCTAAAATAAATACATAAGATCTTTAAAAATATACTACTAGCAGACTCTCACAGTATTATCATTTAAGTTCATCATTGAACTAACCGGCTATTATATCTGAGGAAAGTTCTTAAAAATAAACCATGGGGGCATCTCAGATTCACTCAACAGTTCCTAATCAGTGCCACCTGCTGGTGGCACCACCTTGAGCTTGTCTGGGTCTTCTCATCAGTTAATGGAGAATGATGGAACCTACCTCAGGATTGATGAGAGAATTAAAGGAGATGAACACGAAATTTCTAAGACAGCTTGACACACATCAAACACTCCATAAATGTCAGTCAGGATGGTTGCTGTCGTCATCTCTGCTGCAGTGGTGATGGGACACTGTTCCTACACGTAGGAGGCTTCTGGTCTAGTGGGGAGGAGGTGGCACAGGCGGGCAGTCAGACAAGGGAGATGGAAGTGGTGGCATTTGACCATCTTGCAGGTCCGATATTGAACATTTAATAGAGAAAAGCATTGAAGAGGCTGTTTTTCTCTTAATGCTGCTTGTGACTAGAATTCTTTCCAAAGTAAAATAAAAACTTAGACCTGGGCAAAGCCGAGACCCTGGAACCACAGCTGCAGGAGCATGGTCCTTTTGTGAGGTGTCATTTTCAGGCTTGGGAGAAGGTGCACCCAAATCACCGCACCCAGACCCCTGTAGTGGTGAGGGGTGGAGCTGGTGCCCACCCCTGAGCCAGTGTCAGGGGCAAAGACGCGTGACAAAAAGCATGTACTCCAGTGGGCACTGAGAGCAGGTTTAGCTACTTACTCCTCCCACCCCCCACCCAGATTCAGGACGAAACCAGGCCTCTCCCCAACAGCCTGCCTTGGGGGTAGAACTAGCTTCCACCCTTGCCCAAGGCTCTGTAAATGCAAAGGCATTTGAGAGCGACACCAGGAACTTTTTTTTGGAGACAGTAGAGAAATGAAGACTACTTCTGAAGATTCAAAAGGTAATTTTGCACAAGTGACTAACTAGGTGACCTGTCCAGGAAAATATACCATGGGCCACAGGCCACAGGTCACAGGCAACCATGGACACTCTGAACTCTTCTTCTGAGGTGATAACATCCAAAAGGAATAAAGACTAGAAGAGCACTTTTGAGGAGAGAATCCCCTATCCTGCCACAAGTCATGGCCACCCAGCTCCAGGGCCACGGTCTGGCCGAAAGGCTCACCCTGATAACTTGGAGGCTTAGAGGGTCTCTGGAAGCCAGCTCCCACCACGCTCTGCAATGGCTCCCTCTAGTGGCACCAATGCCTCTATTTGGCACACTGCCCATTTTTCATCCCCATCTGGCTTTCTTTAAAGGCTTTACCTACGAAGATTCCATATGAAATGAAAGAAAGCAAGTCCCCTTCTTATTGGTGAAGGGCCATAGGGACCAATCTTGCACCTTTACCAGTCCACACACCTCTACAGCGGGTAGGAACACAGACCCGAAACACTGGCCTGTCTGGGGAAGGCAGAGTTAGATTAGATCTGCAATCACAGAAACATGAGACACCTGGGATTCCTTAGCTTCCCTAAGGAAGGTGAAGTTTGTTTCTGACCTGTTCAGCCTCCTTTCTTGGTTCTTTCTGATTGTGTGTTCACTGGACTACATGCTCCAGCGCCTGAGTCTGGGGCCTCAGCACTTCTTTCCTCCACATCCCTGGTCTCCTCTCATCCAAGAAAAGGCCGTCCAGGCCTAGGTTCTGCTCTTCTGATGCACAATCCGTCCACCTCCTGAACCATGAGAAGGGCTTCCTGGCCTGACATCAGCCCCAGTAAACCAAGCCAAGAGGTTGCGTTTTACTTAGAAGAAAGAGGTCACTCACCTGGAAATGAAGTCAGGAAAGAAAACTTTCAGTAATAAATAGATCATTGTGTGGTGACTGCGATCCACATTCTTTATTTCCGCAAGTGAGGAGGCACACAGTGGAGGGGACCTTGCCAGGTCTGGCACACCTTACATGACCTGGACAAAGAATGTCCTTTCACTGAGTGGCCCCAGAGAAAGGGGCCGTGACCTCCTTTTGCCCTTCTGTCTAAGATTCCTCAAAGGAGGTGCTCCAAGAGAAAGCAGGCATCCCTGCTCGATGGGACCTGGCTGCTCACTGCCCGAACCACTTGCCCCTTCACGCCCTTCATTGCAGCCTCCTCTACTGGGACAAGCCTGAGCCGCAGGGGTTCTGTCTGGCAGGATCAGGGTCCCTGCTGTGCGAGGAGGGAAGCACTGAGAGGAGTCTGTAGTATATAGTGAGCACAGAATTTCATATCTATAATGCACCCAAGGGGCACATACCATGCAGGACCATGCTTTTCTGTGGAGACACATGTTGGTGGAGTGGAGCTGGGGGCTCACACTGTACCTACCACACCTCATCCCGAGCCAGAAGATTAAGATTCCCCTTAAGAGTCTGGAAGGTTTCAGGAACAACTGTTCGCTTGCTGCCACCTAGTGGTTATTTCTGGAACTTCTCTGGGAGACTCGGAAGGCCTGCTCTTCACTAAACCTCTTACCGTCCTTCATTTCTGTTTTGCCACCGCTGTAACAATGCACAGCCGGCCAACAACACGCAGCTGTGACCCTGCATGCAAATGTGAGGCAGGTGGTGTTTTCCTCTTCTCAAGGCCTCCATTTCAGATCGACTACCTCCCGTCATTCCTATTTTGGAGAAAAGTGATGATAAATTAAGACACTGGGAAATTAATGTTCCCTTCCAAGTACTTCAGGGCTATAGGAAGAAGATGGTGTTTCAATCAAATGGCTACGCACCCAGGGGTGGAATTCCAAATATCAGAGGGCAGTGTGTGGACTCAATGCTGACGTCCATACACCCCCTCCCATCCATATAATTACACCCTAATCCCCAAAGTGATTGTATTAGGAGGTGGGGCCTGAGCAGGTAATGTAGGTTAGCGAGGCGAAGAGGAGGGCCATCTCCTTCCATGCTGGACTGCGTGCCCTTACAGGAAGACATACCTGAGGAGGTGGCATCTGCAAGCCGGAAGGAAGCTCTCACTAGAACCCGACCATGTCGGCACCCTGATCTCAGACTTCCAGACTCCGGAACTGTGAGAAACAAATGCCCGTTGTTTAAGCCACCCAGGCCGAGGTATTGGCTACAGCAGCCCCAGCTGACTGAGACAAGAAGCAAGCTGGAATTCCCAGGGAAATAATTCCCATAGGCAGGAATTTAGTCTGAGGAAGCAGCCCTCCGCACTGCCTACTCTACACTTTGCTCTGGTCCCCATGAATTTGCTATTGTTTCATTCCTACTTGTGGGATTTCTGGAGGATGGACTGCCATCTCCTGCAGGGATGAAGGAGCTAGCAGTTACAAACACCTGGATAAAGAAAGAAGCCACATGCCCTTGTCCTGTCCTCGTGCAATTGATATTCTGGATCCAACAATAAGTTTATATGTATCTCAGTTACATTTTCACCTGTTAGATTCAACAGATCACTCCAGGTGCACTTTAATCAAACCCAGCCCCTTTACTGGGGCCCACAGGGCTCTGCGGTGCGGCTCTTGCCAGCACCTCCAGCTGGATCTCCCGTGACTCTGCAGCCCTTTCTGCCTCATGACTGAATGCAAA